GGGAAATTTCATATGAAGATGATTTGGACTGCACACGAAGGCTGTCTTTTTGGTTTGTGTTCCTCGTTAAAAGTTGGGGTGAAAAAAAAAAAGGATTTTTTAGGGGGCACTATCTTGCTACGATTTATGTTTTGTGTTTAGAGCGAAATCTAGGACCTTTCAAGGTTTGCCACTTTCCACCTTAGTTTCTTTGGGATAGATTAACCTTTTTGGTCTCTTCCTAGGCTCAGGCTCAGGCTCATGGTTGTTCTATGGACATTTCCTTATCCTTGTTAAGAAGAAACTGGAATGCTATTTTATATTGACTTGTCCAGTGTGCTTTTGCCTCTTTGAAGGTGTTTGTGGGGGTGTCTTGTCCTCCATTCACTTAAATAATATTTCCTTTCCTATAAAAAGAATCTGCTTATTTTGCATCATATAGGAAATCACCTAGCACTCATGGTAGGCAAGATAACCTTTTACCTATTTCTGGACATGAAAACCTTGTAGTAATATCTCAGAATTATTTCTAGAGGACCAAAGTCATGATGGTTGAATATCAGCAATTAGGAAAAGGAGAGCAATTATAAACAAATAAACTCATTGTTGTGGCTACCGTAATGTTACATTCACTTTGTGAAATAAAAAGTGACTGTAATGCTACAGTTATAACAATAACGTTACAGTAGCCACCAAAGATTCTTTAATTCTTTCTGCTCTTTCCTCCTCAAAACTATTATATTCTTTCTCAAACTCTTGATCATGCAAAACTTCAGAAGAAAATTGGCTGGCTTTAAGATTCTAAGGAATTAAAATGGAACATTATTTTTAGCAACATACCACAATTGACAAAATACGTCTTGCGAAATTCTTCTCTGTTTCAATTGGATCCTGCAAATGTTTATGGTGAAATCTAAAGGCAATTATCATAGTCTCGGTAGTCAATCAAATAATTGTTACATTTGCACACCTCAACAGAACATGAAATAGAAATGTTGCCAACAATATCAGATGACAATGGATCTAACAGGTCAAACGATTCGCTGTCAGAATCAGATTCCTGCAATCACAGCAAAGGGAAGAAATGATCACATCACCTCTGATCCTCTGAAACACAGGCAATGGCTACCTAATCTAGAATGCTCTTATAAGCTTACCAATAATGAACAACATCAACATTAAAAATGTTGTGAAGATCTTTAGCATAACAAAAATGACTGGTAAATTTGTGTCACATAGAAAATTTTTTCTCTTTCAGGGTGAGAAATTCAAAGATAACCTCATTATTCTGCTACGATGATATAATGACAACTATGAGAATATGATCACAGAGATGGTCAATTATGACCAATTCAGGCAACTATTAACCAGTTACCATGCCATGCTTATACTATTCTGTCTTTTTTGTGTTCCTCCAACAGAAAATCAGGTAAAAGGAACCTAGGTACCCAAAGCTAACATTGCAACAAAATTGTTCAAAATGGATCATTTGTTTAAAGAGTTCAAAATATAAACCAACTTAACAATAGAAATGATGTACGAAGTGCTCACATCTAACAAGGGACCTGAAAACACAAACACTTCATTTGATATCTTTGCAGGTTCATTATCCCAACAAGTTAACAACCAAAATGCATCCATAGAAATAAAATTCCTTTCAAACAAAATTAGGCCTTTGTTTTTGTGCTGAGAGACACATTTTGTATGTTATGAAATGGAGTAAATGGGGCCATACTGAAAGTGAAATAAGGCATCTACCTGTGTCAGAAATTCAAGTAGATCAATCTCACAATATCCCACAAGATTGTTCTTTGACAGCTTATTAGTCTGCAGCACGTGGAAATTTCTATAAGTTCATGTCCTCCCGTTATATAGAGAATAATGGACTCTATAAAATGAAAAGTCATTCTGAGAAAGAGCCTATTGTAAATGAGCTCAGATTTCATATGTCCAACTTAAAATAAAAAATTAACACATTTAATGTAACAAGTACACAGAGACATTCATGATTAGCGCAACAAGATGAGCAGTGGTACAATACTAAAGGACTTCTGCATTATTAAATATTTATTTCTTAAACTTTAGGCCTCATATCTTCTATGAGCCTTAAGGCTACCATGTGGAAACCCTGGGGTCCAAGAAACCTCCAGCATTTGTGTGGCATTTGCCTAGGACCAAAATGATTTACTTCTAAATTGAAATAGACTCCATACTTAGAAAAATAAAAATAAAAAAAAGGAACAACAATAAGCAGGAACGACACATTTAGTGTAGGCACAAAATGCTAGTTTGGCTTATCACACACCTCTCACCTTCAACTCATTTTTCAATTTGCTCCATGATTTTCCAGTTGATGCAATTAAGTTACTAACTTTTTATTTTGTAAATTTTTCAAAAGGATCATTCGGAACTTTGACAAGAAGTCCCACCAAAAATTAAATGGAACATTTTTACAGAGTCTGGATTGAGAGACATGAAGGGCAAAACTGGACGAGATGGCTTCAACAGGTCAAGTTTGGATCTTTTAAAACCATGTAAAACGTTAAATGGAGTATATTAATTTCCGTGACGGTCATGTCATCATTTGTATGGCTATCAACTGGTGATGATATATTAAAAAATGTGCTTATTTCAATCGATAACTAACTAAAGGACTTATTAAAAAATAAATAAAATAAAATCTAATGGACTTAATTAAAGCAATTGGAAGGTTAATGATCAAATTGAAGATTGAGTTGATGTTCAAGGATTATTTTTCTAATTAAAGCATATGCATCAATTACATATGATGACAACCTCGCAGCTATACTTTTCATCTGTCAACTAACGCATCAATATTCTCAATATTTTTGTGCAAGAAAATGAATAGTGGTAGAGTAACATCTTCTAACAATTTTTTCCAATTCCACAGCATAATTTTGAACTCCTATTTCTAAAGTCTAAAAATTGCATGCTATTTCAGAACCTATTTTGGGCAGACAAACAGATTCTCTTGCAGACAAAACCAACTATAACGCAAATATGCTGTATATTAGCACTGTTTAGGTGCGCACACAAAAGCAATGGATAATTCGCATACAGTTAAAAGGCAAGACGTTTTTTGCTTGCGTGATTGACATACAAAATATGAGGTTCAGACTTCAGAATACTTACAGCGTTCCAAATAGGCATTTCTGTCCTACACCACCACGGAGACAAAGTCAGTGTATTTAAAACTTGAAAATCTAGTTGTTAGCCGTCAAAGTTTAATCAAGAATAGAGTAATCACTATTTATTTAATCAAAAGCCTTCAGAACTCAAATAAATTTCCATGACCTAAACCGAAGTTTACAGGAAAGAACAGAAAAGAAAATTATTTTGAAAATAAGATGGTCAAACATTAAAATCAAATAATTTTAAATCACTAAATATATAATATGTGGACGAAAATAATCTCGATTTTATATGGAGCGGAAAAAGAAGAAAATCTATGAAGTGGAGGTGCATAACTGATCGGAAATATCTGTGCGAAAGGTCTGTTCACCAAAAGAAACACAGGCAAGCCACTTGTCTTTGACCTTCATATCCGCCTAAGGCCAAAATTCAAAAGAGAAGATTAATCAATGATTAACTTCTATCCGGCTTAAGTTTGAACTGGAAATGCAAATGAGAAAGAGCTAAAAACGAATGAAAAAATCTCATACACCGATTAGAGTGAGGATAGCAATGCCAGCGAAATCCTCGGCGTCCAGGACCTTCAAATTAGAACCAGAGCTCGAGCCGTGGCCACGTGAACGGCGATGGAATAGGCGGTGATGCTGATGGCGGTGGAGGTGAAGCCTCCGCCGGAAGCGAGACAAGCGGGAGCCATTAGAATCTGGAGTGCCGTTGCCGTTTTCCTTCGACCTGGAGCTTCCATGGCCCATTGAAGCAGAGCAGGAACTGAAAATTTTTTGGCGTTTCAGTTTCTGTTGGATGAGTGGGAAAAGAGAATCTGAGAGTATACGAGGGGATGCAGTGAAAAAACAAAGTGGATAGAAATATAAATGTGGCGTTGACACGTACGACGGGACACAGTGGTGGGCCCTGCATAATTGCAGTCGTTTCAGACGCCTTGAAGTAGTTGGAAATATCATTGTGATTGGACCACCAGAAAATCAATCGACTTTTTAGAGTTTTAATATTAATAAAATAAATAATAATACAATCTCTGATAAGTTCTTACATTTTTCTCACGATATTTAGTTTATCCAAAAAATATATATATAATGTCATAGAATTAAAAAAAATAAATACAGCACACAAAAAACAAATATAATAATTATTTAGATAAATAAGAATTAATTCTTTCAAATTTTTACATTTTTAAATTTTAATTTTTGATATTTTTCTTTATAATTTATTTTTAAATATTTTATTTATTTATTTTTAACGTCTAAATTTTTATTAAATTAATAAATTTATATTTAAATATTTTTTAAAAAATTAAAAAATAACTTAAATAATTAATTAAACTAATAAATTAATGATAATAATGATAAGTTTAATATCATTATAATTTATTAATTTAATTAATCAATTAAAATTATAGAATGTCCTAATATAATTTTATCATTATAACAGAAAAAAAAAAAGAAAAAAAAGCCAAAAGAAATAAATGGAAAAGAAAAAAAAATAAAAAAATATTTCAATCAAATAGAAAAGGTAATAAATAAATTAAAGTGAAAGTTTAGGATTTTTTATACTTCCATTCATAATACTTTTATTATAATATAATCTTTTATAATTTCAGTATGAAGATGGGTATGACTTTAAAAATTGTAAGTGACAAAGTGAGTCTATGTAGTAATAATTATAAAACCAATAATTACTAAGTTTATTATAATTACGAAACACTAAAAGTTTAATGTAATCTTTATTTTATACATGTGTTTATTTTAATTATAAAATATGATCACATAGAACTGTTTTTGTCTTTTACAGTTAGCCGCCTAATATAATATTTATAGTCCCGATACTCTTGGCGAATGATTATCCTCCGCCACCAAACAAGCTTGCACCCACAGACACAACCTATTTCTTGTTTGTTTAATTGTTTTATTTGGCTGGCTGTTGATAGTACTACTAGTTTGAGCAATGTTTGATTATTTTAAACTTTAATAAAGTTCCATAAAAGGTAAAAACAGTACGTTCAACGCATGATAACATCTTAATATAATGTTTTTAACTCTTGATTTTTGTATTGTAATAGTTTAACTTTGAATTTTGTTGTATTCTTAACATGCAATCGATATATCTCTGTGAAGAAGAAAAACATGCATCTTTATTTTTTATTTCACGAGAGTCCCATCTATACAGTGATATACAAGGGCTGATAAGTGATTTTATAGTTTTTGTTCGGCTAAAGCAAAGACTTTCTGAAATTTAATAGGAAGAATTGTTTTTCGTCACCCATACTAGTAATTATAAATGACATTGGCTAGTATTTCTACCATTCCATAAAATTTTGGTTTCAGTACTAGGCATTTCTTCTAATATGACAAAAAAAATTTAAAGAAAAACTGAAATATTAATTTATTATGAGATTATTTAAAAATTTTATATTAAAATATAGACAACAAAAAATCAAAAGTAATATTTATATTGAATAAAATGCATGTAAAAATTAAAATAAATTATTTTTTTGAAGTAATGCTTATATGATATCTTCGTCAATAAAGATTTAATTCCAACTAGAACCATGTATGACTCCTGAGCCTTGTTAATTTGCTAAGACCAGGAGACTTTCATTACTGAGCAAATATCGAAAAAGGGTGAGAATACTTCCAAAATGTTCCAAGCTCAAATCTCACCTTGAGAGTAAAGAGTTTAAATTAAGAGCATTCACAAGCTTGGAGAGCAAGTTTTTCTCTCAACTTATTGATCACCAAACATAAGGAAGATTATTTTCTTTACAATTTTTCCATCCCATCTCTCAGATTTCCCAGGGTTCAAACACATCTTAAGGGATTTCCTAAAAAATAAAGATTGAAAAAAAAAAAAAAAACACAAACAAACAAACAAAGCAAAGCCTAAGGGAATGAAAGGTTTTATGTATAACAGTACAGTTCCAGGATGGAAATAAACCTTCCATAGATGTGTTCCTTTACTAGGATTCAGCAAGCATAATGAATAGTTCCTCATCAGTAATTGCTCCCATCTCCATTGCTCTTTCCAGTGCACTTAGTCCCCCACCATCTTTGATTGATGGACGAGCACCTCTGCAGAAATAAGCATGTTTACTACACGATATCTTCCAAAGGCACTATTAGAGTGAGATAAAGATTATCCATTTGGATTAGAGTGAGATCAAGATGACCCATTTGGATTTTTTGGCGATGGTTGAAATGCTAAGGGAATCATGCACCCAATAAGACCAATATATATATACATATATAAGGCTACTCTTAAAACAATGGTTACCAAGTCATCCACAAGCTATCATAAAAAAGTTTAATGGCTATCAGTTTAGTACTGCAAGAATCAGATTGGCCAAAACTATCTATACTATTTTGTTTAGATATACTTTCTTCATATAGATTTTCTTCATATAGATGGAGTCATGGAAAGATTCTCTTGAACTTTCGGGGCAATTTAAGATTCTTGTGTTTGGTTCAGTTTTTAAGATAATCTGCAAGCACAACTTACTTTCCTAGGAGTAATTGACTTAACGGTAATTTTAAGATTATGTACAACAAAAATGTTACACAATAAGTTGCTATATAACGCTCCATTTGGTATAAAGTAATCAACAAAGGGCATTTTTGAACATAAATTTCAAAAATATAAACAGATATATGCATGTAATATTTGTATAAAAAATAACATATGCATAAAATAAATCAGCAAATTACTTTTGTAGTTTGAGTATTATTTGTTATCTTACATTTTGATTGAAGAATTTTATTTTTTTATTACAATTTGGTTCTCAAACTTATATTTTTTTCCTTAATTCATGATCTTATTATACGACTGTAAAATTTTTATCAGAAGAGCACTGAAATTTTTTTGTTTCACTCTTTTTTAAAAAAAATTCAGAGTTTAAGTGTTATAACTTTAAAATTGATCTTAATAAACTCACTAAGAACAATTAATTTTATTTTAAATAAGTCATAAACATGGTAATAACAGATACATTAACAATCAAAAATACTAAAGCAGAAGAAACCAACACTACAAAAGATCCCATGCATTCAGCAGGATCCTAATTGAGAATGCAGCACAATGGCCCTAGGACAGGCCAGAATGAGTTGGACTTGAGACTTTGACTCTAGGGACAGGTCGGGTCAAAGATTGTGACCCGAGCAAGTCATAAATAGGATTCTGGCCCGGGGAGGTAACGATGTAAAACTTGAAGAGTGGAATGGGAAAAAAGTGATGGAAGAGAGGCATTTGAGAATAAATTTTCTTGTTTTACTAAAGGACAAAAGTTTTCATATGGTTTTACTCAGGATATCATTGGGTATTTCAACAAATTTCTTGTAATGGTATTAACTAACGAGACATAGTTAATTTGGTTTGGAATTTAAAAACCAAACTAAAACAAATTATGTACATAAACATAACCAAACATTGGTGTGGTTCTGGATCAATTTTTAAACTTCATTAACATAATCAAAAACTCTAAGTTATTCTAAGAGCAAATGTATAATTTGATGATTTATATATAATTTGATTTTTGTAGTTTGGTTGATTGGTTTCAAAATTTTAGAAACCAAACAAAACAAAAGCATTAAACTCAACTTGGTCTGTGAAGGAATTTGTTTTTGTTCAAATCAAACCAAATTGCATCCAATCATTTACACCCGCAATCTTAGATGCCTGGTTACCTTTCCAGTTATTCCCTAATGGTGATCTCTTGGTTAAATCCTAAATCCCAAGTAAGTAGATTAACCCTAATCTATCAATTGTCAGGAAAAAAATAAGCTGTCTAGTTCCGACAAGCAGAAATTTTACCTTCTTAGAAGAAGTTTTGAAAATATGTTGTTTCTTGAGGATATGCAATGGTGCAAAGGAGTCCTTCCATGGAAATCTCTCATATTTATGTCAGCACCAAACTGCAGCAACAGTTCAACCATCACTGGGTTGCCACAATGACATGCTAGATGCAACAATGAACAACCTTGAAGACAGTTTCCTGGTTCATTGGAATCCTTGATCCTTTGGCAGGCTGATGGATCATACTCTTTCCTCTGAACTTCATGGGAATTAGGCTCTATGTCACATGCCTCAACAACATGGTGATACGAGTCAATACCAAAAACATCATTAAAGGTGGTATTGATGATATTTGTATCTGACGTCACAATGAGGCGATAAACTTCTCTTAAATTATGAGTTTTAACAGCGTGCCAGATGCTTGTGGTGGGGGAGAAATCACCTCTTAGAGGTGCATTTCTGATGATCAGAGCTTTCTCCACATACTGGTCAGGTGCAAACAAAATTAGGCTCCACATATAGTACCAAAAATTTTACAAAGTCACATGAGAATTGAACACAGATTTTCCAAGATATGAGCAACAAATTAAACCTTTCAAAATAGAACTTGACACAAGTTTCTTGAAAATGGCATTTATGGATCATAACAGAGTAAATGGAATTCTTTATGATGAATACATACATAATCCTCCATATCCAAACTTATGTTAGTATGTAGCTAATCTATTATATCCAACTACTCCAAACCAAGTGAAGCAGCAGAAGATTATCATCCACAAAATATTAAAATAAGTTTTTCCACAGTTAATATGAAGCAATAGAGGAGAAATCTTTAGTAATCTGAGAAACCTATAAAAATATTCCTATTTGGATTTTCAAGTAGAACAACAAAACAAAAATCAACCATCTTTAATATTAAAAAGAGGCTGCATACAGTTTTCTGCAAAGAAGACCAAAAAGTTCATCATCAGACACCATGAAATACCATACACATGCAGATATGTTGTTTACTCTTGTAACAATAAGAGAAACAGTTTTCAATATATTCACTATATTCATTAAATTTTGGTTTAGTTGAATTATTGCAGGTAATTGTAGGATCAGAAGTACCGGCTACAATATATTTATTCCATGTTAAGAATATACATCTTGATGTTAGTGACAACCAAAAGCATGAGTTAAGCTTTTGAAAGCTAGTGATTCGAACCTAAAAAGTTTTTGTGTCAATCTTGGTTCGAAGACATTATAAATGATATCAAACACAAGCCACTCCAATGATTGTGTGCTGGTGCAATTTTTAATTGTCTGAGCTTTAGGTTATGATTTATTATTGTAATGTGTCGCCTTGATAGAAAATCAATGATTTAAGTAGAAAGAATTGGATATAGCCTTAACCTATGTTTGAGAGATATAGATGCCACTCACTACCAATTTAACTTGAGCTTCATGTTTTTTAGGAACAGTTTCGATTTCAAAAAATTGTTAGGTTTTGGTCCAAGGTGCGACAAAGCTATGCCATGCTTATTCAAGTTATAATCTGAAGATAGAAAAATAATGATATGGAGACATGCACATGATGTACCATGCAACATAGAAAAAATGGGTTTCTCAAGAGCTGGTTCCTGATGAGTTATCAGTCCATCAATCTCAGAGACAGACTGTACAGTTATCCTCCCTTGAAAAATCTTCGTTTTTTCCTTTCATTGGATTTGAACACTGAAGATAAAAGCACATTCTATTTATTGTTTTGTATGCTCAAGCCAATAGCTGGAGGATATTGGAAAAACACAAATTACATCTGCAGTAAGTCAAATTTATCATGACCTTTGTCAAAGTTTTTCGTTGGTTCTTTTGGGATAGGGGAAGGAGAGCCATATGCAGGCAACCATAAGGTCAGATGTGAAAGAAGAAAAAAGAAGGATAAAAGGGAAGCAACTGCTATGCTGATGTTTCTATCAAAATCTATCACATCTATTTATTCACTGTATCTGCTGATCCAAAGGTGAAAAGAGAGGGCCAAAAGAAGCGATACACATTATGTATCCAGATTATCAACCTGGATTTTGAAGAGTCCATCAGTTTTAAAGACTCTCTACAAATATGAATCTCAACAATATGAGCAAAAGCTAGATTGTCTTTGGAATCAGCTCTCCAGATATCAAAGATTTGAGTCCTGGCTACAGCTCGGTCCATTAGGGATCATTTGGAAGTACTTTTAAGCTGCCCATAAGCACTGCCATCCGTTCTGCTTGTTTCAGGTGCTTAAAAGCACCTGATTATTAGGTGGATACAAGCTTCTCTCAATCTAATTATAACATCTCCAACTTATATATATAGGTTGTAATATTTAATAAAATACACCTATTTCTTTTGAGGTGGTAGGTCAATAATTTTCCATTTTTGGTTCTTGTCTAGGGTCTGCATTTCCTCTCTCATCCACTTCTCATCAAATAATGCCTCAAATATTAAAAATTTGAATGGATAGAAAACTTTTATGTAAAAGTAAAAATTTCTCAAACGACAGGAACTTCATTAATGGATACAATAGGTGTAAAACTTTTATGTAAAAGTAAAAATTTCTCAAATGACAGGAACTTCATTAATGGATACAATAGGTGTTCAGTACATGCTCTTGTATCTTTCCTAATGGCAATAGGAAGCTCATGACCACATACTAGTTGAGGAGAAAGTTTTAGAATTGCGTTTACCTCATTATGATTAGGTTATGAGTTTTGAACTTGCATAGAATTGGAATCCAAGTCCCTTAATCTTCAATGTACCAACTTAATCTTATTGAATCTTGAGGTTCATTATTCTCCTCATGGATTGGTGCAAATGGTTGAGGATGTTGAGATGGAATTGAGGTGATTTGGTAGGTTGTACAGGTTGGACTCGTACAAGGACGATTGAGATGGTGAGGAAGTTAAGCAAAAACAAAATATTTGTCCCTATCTTCAATGGATGACAATAACTCGCCTTGAAGATAGGGCGGCATGAAAAAAAAAATTCTCATCAAAACTTGATATCAATAGTAACAAAATATTTTTTGGTAGATAGATGATAATACTTGTACCCATTTTGGGTTGATGAATAATTGGATAATATACACTTAATAGCTTTTGGATCTACCAATATGTTCACCAACACTTAAGCTGTCAAGTGACCTATATCCAAATAACTTTGAGCCACTTTAGTTCTTCAAAACCAATTAGTGGTTTCCTCAGAAAAAAAATACCAATTAGTGGCATATAGGTAGGAAATACAACAATAACACCCTCCTATCAAATATAAAATGTGAATGTGGAAGACGTGGGGTATTAAATCTCTAATATGTTAAGGTGCTAATGGAAAAAAGGTTGTGGAGATTCATAATAGATGGTAGTTCTTAGTGGAGGGTGATTTGAGCCAAATTTGTGTTGGAAGAGAAGTTGCTGGGCTAAGCCTTCCGGAATGTTGCATGGTGCGGGGCCAAAGGAAGAGTATCAACTTTGGCTTGGAGAAGTTCTTAAGCTACAGCCAAATGAGATTTATATCAAGGAGGAGGGTAAAGTTTGAAGTAGTGAGGTTGTGATGATGGGCCTGCAGACCGTCGTTTTCTTGTGGGTTCTTTTTCGCTGAGGAGAAAGGAAGCTCAGGTGAGTGATTTATATTATGTCTCAACTTGTCATGTCGTGTAGTAGGTGAACCTTGTAATAAACATTAATGATTAGGAGAAACAAGAATATACTAGTCTCCTCAAGTTCCTTTTCTATATAGGATACATCCTAATGGGGTTAATGCTTGAGTGTGGAAGTTACATGTTAGTGGCTTGTTTTCTTTGATTATGCAACCCCATCTCCCCACTCCCCCAATTTTTCTAGTCTCCTCAAGTTCCTTTTCTAGCAATTTTGTTCAATTACATGTTAGTGCAATTTTGCTTGGAAGAAACTCAAAAGAAGAATCATCGCCATTGACAATTTGAAGAGAGGGTAAGATTTTGGTGGTTGCTTCTTTGTATGAGGGTTGTTGAGACATCGAACCATCTTTTGTTGTTGTGACCTTTTGCTTATCAGCTTTGTTGTATAGTACTTAAGTTCCTTAGTTTGAGCTATGTAGTTGTTGCTCAATTGCTGTGGAGATGGGTGTGGCAGGATATTTGAGATGACAAGAAGAAAGAAAGAAACCTCATGTTGCTCTTATCCCAGTGACTACTTTTTGCATCATTTGGAAAGACATTAACAAAAGAGCCTTTGAAGATATAGCTTTTCTGTGATAGAGTTTAGAACATTTGGCTTTAGAATCTGAGTTTTTTATTCAAGTGTTATCTTCTTTACTGTAATGAGGACCTTGCGGGCTTTATTGATATTTTCTTCTGTAGAAATTTAGAGAAAAATATTTACTTTATTTTCACTATATATTTGGTGTTACAAATGACTCATATATATACAAAAATTCTTAAATACAAATAAATAAATTTTCCTTATAATAAGAATTCTGAATAATTATAAAAAATTAATAGTAAAAACTATATAGGAAAAAATATTACATTATTTAGACAACCAAATATTCATGTCAAAATCTTCATATCTAGGCAGCACCAGATTCATGACTTGAGTATATATAGATTTCTTTTTTCTCTATGAAAAGGTTAAACAGTAGAACAAGGGATTGAAGTGTATGCCGTAATGTAAAATAAAAACTGCTGGGTATTGTTTCAAGAAAGCTCCTAGAAATCTCTTGCATCCTCAAGCAACCACAAACATAATTACCAGTCCTTTATTAGTGTATTAAAGTCAATACAAAATTATGACAGAATTGGTCAATTGTAGTTTCACATCTTGCCAGACCTCACAAATATAATTTCTTAATCCCAGTGAACATGCTTACCGCAAGCTCAAGCACATGTTTTGGCAAGCATGCACATAATTGCGTTGGCCAATTTTAAATTAAAAGAGGATTCACTACTCATGCAAAATCAAGATATGCATTTCTTTCAAGGCAAGAAAAGAAAGTGATTACCTTTGCCAGAATATATTTCTCCTTGAGATAAATGGAATCTTTGGGGCTTGGTTTGGAAATTGATATGTCCCTATCACTTGATTTATCCATACTGCAAGAATATCACATCCAAAGAGAACGACAAAAAATGAATTGTCAAGAAAACCAATTAGCCAAAATATTACTCACTTTTTGGGGAGAGGGGATAAGTCTAGTCGGGATTGTTACAGATGGAAGTAAATTAAAGCAAAGCTGAATTGGCATACAGATATTAGTTAAAAGTTTCTATCTTCATCAATTACAATACTTAAATAACGTCGGATAAAATAGAACTAAATTTTAATACTATGTCAAAACTAAGGATGAAAATTAAATCTATTCACTTATCTAGACAATTGTTAGGCCTATTGTTGAATACTATATTTTATTAATTAATTAATTAATTATTTAATTATTTAATTATTTAATATTATATAATTCGAATTTTATGAGAATAATAATCTCATATTATTAGAATTCTATTAAAATAAGAATTTCTTTATTAATAGGTTAGGAATTTTATAAATGCCCTAACTGTAATAATCTAAAAAATGAGAAATAAAATTATATTTTTTCTCCAAAAATCTTCATAGTATCAGAGTCAAATAAAGCTATTTTAGGGTTCTAATCAGCTTGCTTCGGTTATGCCTTCGACTAGATTGGGGAGAACAGAAGGTTTGATCTGATTGTTTTTCGGTTTCGCAAATCGGATCCAAATCTGCACAACCACTGATACGCAACGCGGTAAAAGAAGAACGTTAGTGCCGCGGCAAGTCAGTTCTGTCCGGAGAAGGAGCCGAGCCCGAGCTGTTTTTAAGCCGACTTCAAGCCTTTTTTTAAGTCGACTTTGAGCCGTTTTGAGCCGAGTTGAGTTGCTGCCTTACCAAACAAATCTGTTTCTTCTGCGCGTGAGCCGCTACGACCAACTTTTTTGGTTCCTTTACGCGCGGCCACCTCTAATTTCGTGACCAGGCCTCCTTCACACGCGAGCCACTTTGACCAGCCTTTTCTGGTCCTTTTTCCGGTTCTTCTACTCGTGCCCGCCTCTACTTTCGCGATCCGGCACAAATCCGTTTCTTTTACATGCAAACCACTCTGACCAGCCTTTTCTGGTCATTTTTTGGCTCTTCCGCACATGTATGTCTCGGGTTTGCAACTTGATATGTAAGTTGAGTATGTGTGATATCCCTGCACCAACTTGAGGAGGGGTGTTGAATACCATATTTTATTATTTTATTAGTTAATTATTTAATTATTTAGTATTATGTAATTAGTATTTTATAAAAATCATAATCTCATATTATTAGAATTCTATTGAAATAAGAATTTTTTTATTAGTAGATTAAAAATTTTATAAATATCCTAAATGTAATAATTTAAAGAACGAGAAATAAGATTATATTTTTTCTTCAAAAATCAACACCCACGAATATAAATCCTAATGTTACAAGAAAGAAAAAAAAAAGTCATTAATATTCTAGGATAAAAGTTCTGCAGGCATTCTGTTAACATCTTTGCATCACTGGTTCTTTCCATCCCACTGCCTCTCTGACACAGTCCTTGGAACCTATCTCAAGTTCCCATTAGGATACAATATTCAGAATGTCAAATTGGCATTAAGGAGCAAGACAGCATAATGTGTCAGCCTGCATCATCTTCTATAGTTAAGTTCTATTTATGATTTTTTTAGGATGTTTTATAACAACCCTCCTGAGTTTACATGGAAATTACAGTACCACACGTCGGTATGAAAACTTGGCGTGGTTGGGGGCCTTTATTTGCCATTGCAGAATTGTCAGTAGTGCAGGGCTCTAGTATAACTCCTTTTCTGCTTTCTTCTACACTAATACCTCATTCAGGGATGACATCTTTTTTTTTCCCAGGTCCCAAACTCTCACCTAATCATACTCTTCATCGAGTCCAACCCTGAAATAGTACACCCCATCTTTTTCAACTATTCTTTTCAAACCTGTTGCATCTTTGCTGCACTCCATAGTAAGACTGCGATGCTGATCAAGCTTCTGCAAACAAGTCTTCAGAAGGTTGGTATAGTATGTAACTAATTTGTTTCATTGGTTAATTGTCTAAGTTTTGACAGTCAAGTCATATATCTAAGCTCCATCATTCACTTTAGAATATGTTTCTTTGATTGAGTCCCAAACCTCCTTCGCAGTAGAAAGGAATATCATTGTATTGCTTATCTCTGGTGCCATTGAATTCTAGAGCCAAGCCATTATTATTGAATTTTTTCATCCCATGTATCAAAATTCAGGTGATCTGGTGCCAAGAAGTTGATTGCTTTTTCCTTTTCCTTTCAGGATGGTCCTAATCAGTTGTGACCAATTAAATAGTTCTTACTATTAAAGCAGTAGGCAACCTAAATTAGTTGAAATTCGCCATTCGTTTGTGTCGAATTTCCCATGTGAGAATTTGTGCCAGTAATTTGGAGAGTAGCCTCCAACATGATTTAAAACTTCTAGGGCAACTAAGATTGATTAAACAAGTCAAAGGAAGGAAACTACTGACTGGACAGGCGTGACTATGTGGCAGAGACTTGTTAGACAATAGGCACAGCCTGAAGCTGCACGGTTGGTGGCTATGCACAAGAAGTGCAGCTGCAGCTAGATTTGCATGTCTGGAGAGACAGTGTGGCTGAGGCTGCGTGGATGGTCCTGGTGCAACTGGACTGGACAGATTCTGGCTGCACGCGGTTAGGGCTATGCGACTGCAACAAGCAGCACTTGAGGCTGTGCATTGCAGGGGATGGCAGCTGCAACTGGCCTGTGCATGGATAGAGACTGGTCACACAACTGGGACGCGGTTGAGGGGCTAGAGCTGGCGATGAAGGCCGGACTTGGTGGCTGGTGGTTGGCAGCTGGGGTTGCGGTGGCTGGCACTAAAGGCTGGTCCTTTAGGGTTTTTCTTATTTTGCAATGAACTGACTAGAATTTGTAAAGATTATTAGGATTTTTTTCTAGAGCTCTGATATCATATGAAAAAAAAATCTTCTATTATTATTGAATTAGAGGGTCCTATATATACACATTCTTAGAGTAATAAAAGGAAATAGACAATTAATTACATGAATATTTTACTACTATACTTTTTATTCTGATTATGCAAAGATATACTTTCATACATAATACATAATTCCTAACAGTTAAACTCTTCAGTGGCACCAGTAGCTTGTGACATGACTTCAGACATGGCTAGAAAAATAGTGGAAGGAACTCCGGCAATAAAGGTGAGCTGTTGTAGTAGCCAACAATGAATGCTGGCTGAAGTGGAGCAACAACCATGTATCAGCTTTGTCGAAGCAGGGCTATGTGCAGCTGAATGTGGTGCGTGGATGTGGTAGGAGCTGCTGTGCAGCATGCAGCTGGAGAGGGGGCAAGTGACTAGCATGGGGGCGTGCAGAGCAGGGCCGCGCAACTGGTGCAGCATATGGCTGTAGCAGTAGCGGCAGCTGCAGTGCATGTCTATAGCACTTGGAGATCTCGGATCTCAATAATCAAAATAATCTCTCAATATTTTAATAATTATCATGAATAACCTGCCTAATAACTAAACTAAGTATTTTATTTATAGATATCAAAAATATTAAAAATAAGAAAGCTAAAAAACCTAGTAAATAAAAAAATAACTTAAATAAAAAGGATTAGAGAAATAGAAAATTTAGGAAGTAAGAAACCTAAGAAATAGGAATCTAAGAAGTAGGAATACAATCATCCTATTTTCCTTATTATAAGACTTTCTAAAAGTTAAAAAAACAAAGAAATTAAATAGTCCTATTCCTTTTAATTAACTAAGAAAAGGAAATTAAAATCTTCATATTCCTTTAAATTAACTTCTCGCAATGTTTATACTCCTTTATTGATTCTACTTCGTATTTCCTACTATTGAAATATACCCATTTTAAGAGATTCCTATTCTGCATCAGCATAACTAGAGGTTTCCACTATGAAGGACGGTTGTGGGTGGTGATGATGGTTGACTATGATGCCTGGACTTGTTTAGGTTTTTTTTTTCTTTGTCTCAACGATGAAAGCAAATTAGGGTTATAAAAAAAGTTAGAATATTTTTTCTATAATCCTAATACCACATGGAATATTTAAAAAAAAAAATCATGTGGAAGAATAGAATGATGTGTTTATTACTGAATGAAATGGTTATATATATAGACAACTGAAGTTTTTGGAAAAAATAAACTTCTAATTTTATTTCTTATTTTTTGTGTTTACATTTAAAAGATATATAGAGTGGTTATCCTTATTTTAATTAAACTCTAAGTATAAGATATAATTATACTATTAAAACTCTAACTAATATAATATTCTACTTACTATGAAATTTTTATCAATACTATTCTTCAAGTTGGCGCAAAGATACACATATGCCCAACTTGCAAATCAGTTTTGAAAAGATTTATTTCATAGTATTTAAGTGAAAATATCAGTCATCTGGTCGTTAGAAAATACATAATATAAGCATAGAGAGCCCCCAACCACCTTCTCTTTTATGAAGTGTCGATCAATTTCAATG